CATTAGCAATGCCCGCCGCCCCTAAGAACAAGTGAGACCCGACTAAGAACAAGTGAGTGGCCTCCGTCGGAGGACATCTAGCAAGTAAAGGCGGTCCGACTGAGGAGGAGTTAGAACTAGCACTTTGAGCGGCTATAGCAGCCTCCACGCTCACAATAGAGTCGCGAAAGGTGAACAGTCTTCTAGCTTGGAGGCTAGACTACTTGCACAGCAAAGGCGACCACGAGCCACTTTGATCGCGGGGGCTGTCTTTAAGGAGAAATTTGATGCACGTTACGTTTGCGGGCGCACCGAATGGCACATAGCTATGCTTGCGCGGGCCACCTTATGAAAACCTGTAGGTTTCTGTGACCAAAGCGGCCCACTCCTACCATTTCGCAGCTTCACAGCAGTTTACAAGGGTCACTAAAAAGTGACCAACGTGACCTAGCAAAAGGAACAAATGAGAGAACAAAATGCCCCCACCGAGCCGAACATCGCCAAAAAATCTTTCTGGCACACAATCATTTCTTCGCATCTTAAAGCACTGAATGCCTTTCATTTAAAACAGAGATGCTTCGAAAAAATTGTGTAGAAACAAAGAGCACGCAAACTGTTGTGCTAAAATGCCTCCAGTGCTGTAATAACACTCCATGAACATACCACATGGTAAAGTCCAGCCATTGCACACCTTTTCCCGTTCGCTAAGCATAGATCAGCAGAATAAAAGTGACAAGACAATCAATTTTGATCATGGTAATCACGATTAATGATGGATCTGAACGAGGTCCAAGGAAAGCGTCACATTCTCGTAGCACATAACGTCTTTAATCCGTAGTCTTCAAACTAGAAAGACTATAGTATGGCCTTACCCAAGCTACCATGTGATTTTCATCTCAAATTTCGTGAGATCCATATTCATCGGCTTCAAGTAATGAGCAGCAGCAACTGCGAAATCAGTGTAGAACGACAAGCAACCAGTCGTTCTACATTGACTGTGAGAGAGCAATAGCGACTAATTCCACAAAAGCCAAGATTAACAACACTTGGTCAGGTCGCATAAAGTATAATAAAACCAAATGAACAATTAAGTAATGATTTCCAAAAACTGCTTGATAACTTTAAATAACGCCTCATGGAAAGTGGTGAAGCAATGAACTGTTCTGTTTCTGCATAGAATTCAATTATTCAGATCATTCTTAGCAATTCACTACCACTAATTCCAGAAGCGTCAAGATAAAGGAAATGCAGATTCATCGAAGTAAAATGGGATAAATTACAACGAAAAGCCGAGTATCGAAGTTATATAACATCAATTATCGATATTTTGAGTTCAAAGATGATGTGACAGCTTCATGCAACCACCTTCTGTTCGGTAAAAACTTTGATGGAAAACAACCAGACAAAAATAACAGCTATAACAGAGAAAAAAGCTTGGAAGTGTGAAGGAGAAGGTTGCGTGCGCCGCGCGCTGCAGATGACGGAAGAATGATTAGAGCGCGAAAACGTACGCTGTGTGCGTCGGAAAGATCGTTGAGGATCGGATGTGTCCCACAAATTCTCCGTTTGTGTGGATAACTACTGAAATATGTAGCTACAGATAGGAAGATTGAGTCTGATAATCCGCGCTTTCCAAAACGCTCCACGCGGTCGACTCTGGTACTAAGCCACGCTGA